AATTAATAGCTCCATTTTTAATAGCTGGTCCCAATTTAAAATGATCAGTTTTCTCCAAAATATGTATATTTTATCTGTGGGTGTGTGTTTAAATTCAGGACTTAATCAAAGTTTGTGCATTGAATTGGGTTGTCTAAGTCTTGTTTTTTAAAATCTAGACTATCTTCTTTCCACCTGTAGTTTTTTAAGAGCTCAGGCCAGTTGTCTGAGAGAATTTTTACATTTTAGATTTGTCTCATTGTTTCCTCATTTTGAGATTCAGTTTACCTCTGTATAATTTCATCTGGAAGCTGATCTTGTATATGACAGGAGTAAGAAACAAAAACATAGGTTGCATCTTGTCAAATGTCAATATTTAACTTGCCTTCCTTCAAGTTGGAAGTTTGAAGAACTTTTGAATTCCACCTGTATAGTTGCCCCATGTGTATTTATAGAATTTTAGAGCATGCCTCTGTGTCTGTGAACTATACATTTTTGCCAAAGGTCAAATTAGGGTAATGTTTCAATTTTAAACTATATATAAAGAAATAATTTTTAATATCAGCATTGTATACTGGTTAGGATTAGACTCTGCAACCAGTCTGCCTTAACTGGGGCCCAGTTCTGTCATTTAAGAACTAGTCTTGCTTATTTAAGCAAGTCATTTAACCTCTCTGTTCTCTATTGCCCCATCTACCTGAAGGTTGGGAGGATTAAATGTAGTATTGTGTAAAGCATATAGAATGGTTCCTGGCATATACTAAGCATGATTTAAGTGTTGGTGATGGTTATTATAGAATAGTTATTATTTTGGCAGTGACTAAGGAATAAAGTATGTGAATAAAAGAAATTAATCGTAGAACTTATACCTGAATGCCATCTGTTTTACAGAGGTGTTATGAAAATTAAATGAGATAATGTATAAAGCGCTTATCCCAGAGTAGCTGCTAAAAAAATAAGCTTGTTCTCTGATATCTCCACCCCCTGTTCCTCTATAGAGCAATATAGGCAGTTTGATTTCTTGTTTGCTCTCCTATACATTTGTTTGAAATTTTAGAACTTCTAAAAACTTTTTTTTCCCATTTGCTAACAGAATAAACAGCAGTTGTTTAATTGTATACACCTTTAAACATGTATTGTCAGATCCCCCACCCCTTTTGCTCTTTGAATTACATACCTTATTACGGTAAATTCTACTAGAACCAAGATGGTAGACATTATTATTATTATTATTTCATTGATTTTTTTTAGAGAGAGAAAGGGGGTGAGAGAGAAGAGGAAGAGTGAGGCAGAAAAGGTGGAAGGAAGGGAGGAAGGGAGGGAGGGAGGGAAACTTGGTGACCCGACTGGGGATCAAACCTGCAACCTGGGTGTGTGCCCTGACCAGGAATCAAACCTGCCACCTTTTGGTGTTCAGGTTAGCACTCTTAACCAATGGAGCCACACTGAGCAGGGCAAGATGGTAGACATTATTAATCAGTCAGAGTTGAACTGAGCTATAGCATCAGAATCCTTCTTCATAGTATCCCAGGTATCTATAAGACTTCATGCAGTACTGAAATCCTCTCTGCTTTAGAGCTTTCTAGAAGAAATATTTATGGAATTACCAAATAATATCTGGCTCTGTTAATCCTCTGTCTCAAGATGTGGGCTCATCAAACCTTATGAAAAAGCAGTGTGGTCTTAGAGCATTTCCTAACATGATTTTCTATATTATAACATTCTTACATAATATAGGCATCTTTAGACATCTTCTAGATGGGATACATCAATTTTAAGAGTATAATTAATGACTGTAATGCAAAGATTATAATGCAATGACTCGAAAAAGAGTGTGCATCAGAATCGGCTGAAATGTAGTCTTCAAAATACTCATGCTCCATAGCCCTGGCTTTTGTGGCTCAGTTGGTTGTGCTTCATCCCATGCATCAAAACGTCCCTGGTTCAATTCCCAGTCAGGGCACATACCAAGGTTAGGTTGTAGGTTCAACTCCCAGTTGGGGTGCTTGTGGGAGGCAACTGATTGATATCTCTTTCCCTCTTTCTTTTCTTCGCGCTCTCCTTTTCCCTTTCTCTTCCTATAAGAAAATAATCAATAAAAACATTAAAAAATACTCATGCTCTAGGCCTCATCCCAGATTTATTGAATCATATTTATCAGTAGATAGACCTTGACATATGCATTTTGTAAAAATATCCCAGGTGATTCTGCTATTTATATTACTGATGAAAAACAACTAGATACTGCCAAGACCAGTTTGGCTCAATGGATAGAGCGTCGGCTTGGGGACTGAAGGGTCCTGGGTTCGATTCCGGTCAAGGGCATGTACCTTGGTTGCGGGCATATCCCCAGTAGGGGATATGCAAGAGGCAACTGATCGATCACTGTCTCTCATCGATGTTTCTAACTCTATCTCTCTCCCTTCCTCTCTGTACAAAATCAATAAAATATATTTAAAAAACAAACAAACAAAAAAAACAACAACTAGATACTGGCAAGAGTCAGATATCTTCACATACTGTTGGTATGAATGTAAATTGCTATAGTGCAAACTACAGAATATTTTTTCAGTTTCTCAAAATTTCAAATCTGTATGATAGGAATACATATGTGCACAAATATACAGTTTTAAGAAAGTTTCCTGTAGACCTGCTTATAATTTCAAACAATTGTGAGTAGTTAAATGATTGTTAGTACACAAATGGTTAGTAAATACATTATGGTAGATACCATGGTTGTTTACTATACAACCCTTAAAGAATGAAATATCACCAAAACCTGTTTGGCTCAGTGGATAGAGCGTCGGCCTGCAGAATGAAAGGTCCCGGGTTCTATTCCAGTCAAGGGCATCTACCTTGGTTGCGGGCACATCCCCAGTAGGAGGTGTGCAAGAGGCAGCTGATCGATAATTCTCTCTCATGGATGTTTCTAACTTTCTATCCCTCTCTCTTCCTCTCTGTAAAAAATCAACAAAATATATATTTTTTTAAAATAAAGAATGGCCGAGGCAGGTTTGGCTCAGTGGTAGAGCATCGGTCTGCGGACTGAAAGGTCCCAGGTTTGATTCCGGTCAAGGAGGAGGATGTGCAAGAGGTAGCTGGTCGATATTTCTCTCTCATCGACGTTTCTAGCTCTCTATCTTGCTCCCTTCCTCTCTGTAAAAAATCAATAAAATATATTTAAAAAAATAAAAATAAAGAATGAAGTATGCATGAAATTTATACATGCTGATGTAGAAAAATATATAGGATATATTAAGGTGAATAATCAAGTCACAAAATAAACTTTTTTTTTTAAAGGTATTTTTATTGATTTCAGAGAGGAAGGGAGAGGGAGAGAGAGATAAAAACATTAGTGATAAGAGAGAATCATTGATTGGTTGCCTCCTGCATGCCCCCTATGAGGATTGAGCCTGCAACCCCAGGCAGGTGCCATTGACCAGAATTGAATCCTGGACCCTTCGGTCTACAGGCCGATAATCTATTCAGTGAGCCAAACCACCTTGGGCCTAAACCCTGTTTTTTAAATTATGTATGTAAATGTATAAAGAAAGATTTGAAAGAATACCCAGCAAGGTGTTTACAGTAGTTTTTTCATGACATAGAAGAATAGGGATGATGAAGGGGAGCAATAGGCATTTATACTTTTACTAGAGGCCTGCTGCACAAAAATTCGTGCACTTGGTGGTGGTGGGAAGGTTTCTCTCAGCCTGACCTGTGCCCTCTTGCAGACCAAAGCTCTCTGGTCTTGAAACATTACCGCTGACTATTACCGACAATCTAGCCTCCCTCTGTGGGAGTGACCCACAGGTTGATGGGGGACAGTAGTGGCAAGTGAGCAGCTGGCCCCACTCCCCCATCGCCCTGCCGCCACCCCAATTACTGTCCCCTTCCGCTGCCCATTTGCCAGCCCCACCCCCCACTTACCAGTCCATTTGCATATTAGGCTCTTATTATATAGGATATTTAAAACTAGGGGTCCAGTGCATGAATTCATGCCCCTTGAAAGGAACTGTGGGATGTGAGGCTGCCATGGGCAAGGGGGCAGGCTTCAGCCTATCTTCCACGCCCCTGCCTGGCCCCTCCTGCCATGGTCCCTGGTCCCCTCTGCCAGCAGCCCCACTCCTGCCACTGCTGCCCTGATGGTGCCAGCCCTGCTCTTTCCTGCTGATGGTGCAGAGTGATTGGGATCCGCACCTGGCGCCTGCAGTGGGTGCCCGGCAGCGGGTATGAGAGGTGGCTGCCGGCTCGATCGTCCCTCGGGAGCAGCAGAAACCCTCAAGTGATCGGGACTGGCAGCAGGTGCGAGCAGGGCCTGTACTGGAAGCAGGTGAAAATGCCAGGCGAGAGGACACATATGGAAGCAAAGAATTTTAAGTAAATTACCACAGACTCGCCCCGATGAGAGGGACCAGCACTCTGCCTTGGTCTGGAGCCCCTGTTCACCTGCTCCACCATCCCACCATGGCCAACACCCACCATGTTCCACTCACACCCCCTGGTGGTCAGCGCAGGTCATAGTGATCGGTTGTTTGGTGGTTCTGCCTTTTGCTCTATTTTAATATTAGGGTTTTATATATACAGATACTTATAATAGATTTTAGTCTTTTTGTAATAGCAAAAGCACCACTGGACAGAACATGAATGATTAAAGGAAGCTTTGAGGGACCTAACTTATATGTGTCTGAACTGCTTATATTGCACATACCAGGTTTAACATTAGAATTATGATCTCTGACTTGGGAAACAGAAAGCTATCTTGCATGTTTGCAAAGAGAATAAAAATTGTATTAAGGTTATTGTGAAAGTAATTGAGATTTTTAAGCATATAAGACTAAGATAAAAATGTATCTGTGTTGTATTACAATTATATTGGCTACCTGTTCTAAAAATATTTAGTGTTTTTGCATATCTGGATATGAAAATCGGGTTCAGAATATTTTAGTTTTACTTTTTCAATTGATTAGCTTTTAGTTTGTGAGGATATTAATACCTTTTTATTTCCCCTTTTAAAACTTTAGGCCCGATGAGAAAAAGGGAAAGTTAAGGATGCTGGAGCAGAACAATGGATTTCTCTTTCTCTTTCATGCAAGGGATCATGGGAAACACAATTCAGCAACCACCTCAACTCATTGACTCCGCCAACATCCGTCAGGAGGATGCCTTTGATAACAGCAGTGACATTGTTGAAGATGGTGGCCATACACCATATGAAGCTACCTTGCAGCAAGGCTTTCAGTATGCACCTACAACAGAAGATCTTCCTCCACTCACAAATGGCTATCCACCATCAATCAGCATGTATGAAACCAAATACCAGTCTTATAATCAGTATCCCAATGGATCAGCCAATGGCTTTGGTGCAGTTAGAAACTTTAGCCCCGCTGACTATTACCATTCAGAAATTCCAAATACAAGACCACATGAAATTCTGGAAAAACCTTCTCCTCCACAGCTACCACCTCCTCCTTCGGTACCACAAACTGTGATTCCAAAGAAGACTGGCTCACCTGAAATTAAACTGAAAATAACCAAAACTATCCAGAATGGCAGGGAATTGTTTGAGTCTTCCCTCTGTGGAGACCTTTTAAATGAAGTACAGGCAAGTGAGCACACAAAGTCAAAGCATGAAAGCAGAAAGGAAAAGAGGAAAAAAAGCAACAAGCATGACTCATCTAGATCTGAAGAGCGCAAGTCACACAAAATCCCCAAATTAGAACCAGAGGAACAAAATGTAAGTTGAAACATCTTTTTGAAAAATTTTGTAATGTTTCATATTTACTGGAAATCCTAGAACTATTTTTCAGTTTTTATCTCTAAATGTTTCTGGTAACTTCTTCTAATGTCTTATAAGGAGCTTAGATTATTATAATAAAGTGCTGAGAAAATATTTGTTGACTAAATGAATGGACATCATTAGAATGAAACAATATTATAAAACATGTGGCACTAAGAACTTGCTTTTTATGTTTGTCTAATGCCTTTATTTGCTTCTAATAAACTTGCTTTTGAAGATGAAGAGTAAAGGCAAAGAGAAGATGTTTAATTATATTGCTTATTTTGTTTTTTTAGACCAACCTTTGCCAGTAGGTACTAGATTCCTAGATTTAGCACTTACAACTATTGTGTTTGGTACAAAATAACCTAAAGCAATAAAGGATCTCTTTTTATTAAAATCAGAGTTTGTTTTTGTATATATTAAAACTCCAAGCACAGTTTTTAGAAAGGTTACCTTTCTTAGGTAACTAAAGGTGTATGCTTGCTTTTCAGTTGATAGGTTTAAAGCAGAATTTAGACAAAGCCCATATGTTGCATCTGGTAGATATGTTTCTTAGGACTTCTTAAATCAACAGGTTCCCCTCACTGCTTTTTTTTCTTACAATGTATTTATTTAAAAAAAAATGGGTATTTCTCCTTCAGAGGGTTTCATATTCTGGATTTTGTTGATTGCTTCCCAATGGCATTGTTTAACAAATTCTGTCCCCTATATTTCTTATAAACTGGTAGTTAGGTCTAGAGACTCAATCTCGTTTTTGGTTCATATTTATTCACACTCTTTGTTTTAGTAATCAGTGTCACACAACAGTGGAAAGAACCATGGTAACACCTAATCTTGTGACCCTCATGTGGGTTGGGCACCTTCAGGCATGATTTTTTTTTTTTTTTAACATTATTTTTTAGCCACATCCTCCCATCCCTTTCCTTTTGACAACACATCAGCTTGTTTTCTGCTTTGGGACTATTTCTACTTTGTTTTATTTATACATTTATTTTGGTGTGTTTCTTATAGTCTACATATAGTAAGACTAGAGGCTCGCTGCACAGAATTTGTGCAAGGGGCTTAGCCCTGGCAGCCGTAGTGGCTGCCTCAGCCCTTTCAGCCCAGCTTCATCCAGAAGGTTATTCAGCTGTCCGGTCTAATTAGCATACTATGCTTTTATTATTCTAGATTATATGATATGTCTTTCTCTGTCTGACTTACTCCACTTAGCATAATACCCTCTGGGTCTATCCATGTAGTCACAAATGGCAAGATTTCATTCTTTTTTGTTACTGAATAATAATATTCCATTGTGTGTGTGTGTGTACCAGATCTTCATTCATCATTGATGGACATTTATCTAGATTGCTTTCATATATTGGCTATTACTAGTAATGCTATAGTGAACATAGGGATGCAAATATCTTTTCAAATTAGTGTTTTTGTTTTCTTCAGATAAATGCTAGAAAGTGGAATTGTGGGATTGTATGGCATTTCCAGTTTTAATTTTTTGAGGAATCTCTATACTATAATAGCTACACTAATGTACAATCCCACCAACAGTGCACCCAGGTTCCCTTTTTTCCTCATCCTCTCCAGTACTTGTTGCTTATTGATGATAGCCATTCTGACAGGTGAGAGATGATATCTCATTATGGTTTTAATTTGCATTTCCCTGATGATGAATAATACTGAGCATCTTTTCATATGTCTGTTGGCCATCTGTATGTCCTCTTTAGATAAAGATCTATTTACCCTAGCCCAGTGGTCGGCAAACTCATTAGTCAACAGAGCCCAATATCAACAGTACAACGATTGAAATTTCTTTTGAAAGCCAAATTTTTAAAACTTAAATTTCTTCTAATGCCACTTTTTCAAAATAGACTTGCCCAGGCTGAGGTATTTTGTGAAAGAACCACACTCAAAGGGCCAAAGAGCCCTAAAAGTATTGATTAAAACTCGCGACCCACAATTTTCTGACCACGGCCCTAGCCAGTTTGGTTCAGTAGATAGAGCATCAACCTGCGGACTGAAGGGTCCCAAGTTTGATTCCAATTAAGGGCACATGCGTTGGTTGCAGGCTTAATCTCTGACTCTGGTCAGGGCATGTGTGGGAAGCAACCAATCTATATGTCTCTCTCACATATAGATTGGTTCTCTGTCTCTCCCTCTCCCTTTCATTCTTTCTAAAAATCAATGGAAAAATATCCTTGGGTGAGGATTAATAACAACAACAAAAAAGATAGAAATCTTGTTCAGATCATTTGCCCATTTTTTAATTGGATTGTTTTTTTATATGATTTTTTTAACTTAATAAATCTTTATTGTTCAGATTATTACAATTGTTCCTCTTTTTTTCCCCATAGCTCCCCTCCACCCAGTTCCCACCCTACCCTCTGCCCTTACCATCCCACCCCCCAACTGTCCTCATCCATAGGTATACGATTTTTGTCCAGTCTCTTCCCACACCGCCACACCCCTTTCCCCCCGAGTGTTGTCAGTCCACTCCTTTTCTATGCCCCTGATTCTATTCACCAGTTATTTTTGTTCATCAGATTTTTTTTTTATTCACTTGGCTTTTAGATTCACTTGTTGATAAATATGTATTTGTTGTTCATAATTTTTATCTTTACCTTTTTCTTCTTCCTCTTCTTAAAGAATACCTTTTAGCATTTCATATAATACTGGTTTGGTGGTGATGAACTCCTTTAACTTTTTCTTATCTGTGAAGCTCTTTATCTGCCCTTCAATTCTGAATGATAGCTTTGCTGAGTAGAGTAATCTTGGTTGTAGGTTCTTGCTGTTCATCACTTTGAATATTTCTTGCCACTTTCTTCCTGCCTGCATAGTTTCTGTTGAGAAATCAGCTGATACTCGTATGGGTTCTCTCTTGTAGGTAACTAACTTTTTCTCTTGCTGCTTTTAATATTCTCTTTGTCTTTTGCTCTTGCCATTTTAATTAAGATGTATCTTGGTGTGGTCCTCTTTAGGTTCCTTTTGTTTGGGGTTCTCTGCACTTCCTGGACTTGTAAGTCTATTTCTTTCATCAGGTGGGGGAAGTTTTCTGTCATTATTCCTTCAAATAGGTTTTCAGTATCTTGTTCTCTCTCTTCCCCTGACACCCCCATAATTTGGATGTTGGTACACTTGAAATTGTCCCTGAGGCTCCTTATGCTATCTTCATATTTTGGATTATTTTTTCTTTTTGCTTTTATGCTTGAGTGTTTCTTGCTTCTTTGTATTTCAAATTGTTGACTTGATTCTTGAAATCCTCTAGTCTGCTGTTAGATCTCTGTATAGTATTTTTTATTTCAGTTAGTATATGCTTAATTTCCAGGTGGTCCTTTTTCATATCCTCGAGGTTCTAGCTAAATATATTGGCTTTTTCTAGGAAATTCTTGAAAAATCTTATAACTGTGGTTTTGAACTCTATATCCAGTTGTTTGCTTTCCTCCATTTCTTTCATTTGTTACCTGTTTCTTTGTCTCCGCATTTTGGCTGCTTCCCTGAGTTGATAGAGTGGCTTTGTGTGCTAGGTGTCCTATATGGCCCAGTGGCTCAGCCTCCCCAGTTACCTGAGGTGGACACTCTTGGTGCACTCCTATGTGGGCTGTGTGTACATTCTTTTAATTAAGCCTTGATTGTTATTGGCATCACTTGGAGGAATTGACCTCCAGGCCCATTGGCTGTGAGAATCAGCTATATCTACGCTGGGAGAACTTCTGTGCTGAAGACATCTTTATGAGACAAGACTTGCTTCAGTGGGGCTTTGGTGCTCACTGATTCTACCCCCCTGTGTGTGTCCCTTATGGGTCTGAGGATTTGTAATCTGGATGGTCCTATTTTGACCTCTGGGTATACTGGCTCTTGGATTTCCAAGGAGGTGCCTTTGCCTGAGGCCACCCAGCAAGAGCTTTGAAGAGATCTACGGATTCCTCTTCTTTGTTTGGGTTTTGGAGGTGCCCAGATGAGGCCCAGCTGTGAAGCAATGCATGCTGCTGTGGGGCCTTGTGCCTTCTTTTGGATGTTCTGGGTTTTTCTGACTCAGCTGTAGTTTGTTAGGTAATTTTAAATTTCAAAGGACCAAGCCATTCATATGCAAAAGCTTCTGCTTACAGCTTGGATGAAGCAGAGCCTCAGAACTGAACAAACAGCAATGGCTGACCATCAGCCCTGCCCTAAGAGGCCCCTGGGTCTCAGTGTCTTTTGGTAATCACTGCAAGCACCACCCTCGAGTTCCACCAGCTGCCAGAGACTTCAATTTCTCCTCGTATGAGTTTGGGTCACCAGAATCTCGCCCAGAACGAGTTCAGAGCAGTCGGGAGCTTGTATCTCCCTCCAGATTGAAAAAGTCAGCCACATACTCAGTTGCCAGCCCTCTCCGTGCGTGCCTCCAAACCCGTGCACTTTACTTCTGCAGCTTCTCTGAGTCTCACTGTGCTTTTCTCTTCTCGTTGTAGAATTTCCACTTAGCCAGCCTTCTTGTGGTTCTGGATGATATCCATTTTGTCTTTTAGTTGTAGTTTTAAAGTTGTTGTGCGAGGCAGCAAGTTCAGGTGTTTACCTATGCCACCATCTTAGGTTTCTCCTCCAGACTATTTTTCATTTCTACTTTTTGCTTTATTGAAATCTAGGAAAAATTCAATGCAGTGATATTTCTAGTAATCACTCTACGATGAGATTTTAAAACCAATTCTGTCTTTGTTGGATATCTGCTGTGCTTTATATCACTTAAAACTTCAGTCAACTATTATATCCCGGCATTAGAAAGGTTAGATATAATTTAAGAGTTATGGTTATTTTCTTTTTTAGTAAACCATGTGAAGCATAAATTAATATTTCATTTTTTAGGATCATATAATATCTTCAGGTAAGGGAATGTCAATTTGTAGATGTAGAAACTGGCATTGATTGCATTAAATATTAACAAGGCCATTGCCTGAAAGTTGAGTGTTTGGGGGGAAGTGTGGGTT